ATTTTGAAGCTTAACTCAGTGGGTTTAGTTCTATCTCTTAAGTACAAGGTGTCCGAGGAAGTGCAGCCATTGAGCATTAGACAGCGACAGACTTTTCTCCTTTTGTTGGAATGTAGAGCCTGTATATTCCTTCAGCCTCTTCTGAGTGGCTAGTATATCTAAGTTGTAGGAGTGCAGTAAGGCCGCACATCTTTCTGCTGTGGTGGATATCCTCGAGCTACAGTTTATCATCAAAAAAAAAAACAACACCTAGACAAACCCACCTCTCCAAGCAAGTGTAAAACAAAGGACACAGAACGAGTGATGTTGAGATCTGTGTAGCATGAAAGCAGATGAAAGGTTATTTTCCTTAAAATGCAGAAAGTTTCTGTTTATGCAGTTTTGTGCAGTCATAAAATACAATTACCCACTTGAGGTATATTTCTTCAATAATGCGTATTCTTGTGCACAGGCACAAATACTATTCTGTGCACATAGTAGTAATTCATGGTGGTGACAGCAAAGTCCTGAAAAGATATGTACCCATTACAAGAGTATTCTGGTACAATGAATATGCACCTCACTGTTTGTGGAGCATCACTTCCCAGCAGTTAGTATCTCAGCCTTATGTCAGTGAATCCCAGTAACATTCAGGAACTGACTCATCAGACTACTTTTGACTTGTGAGAGTTCGTCACCCATATTGGTTCTAACTCTGGCACCAAATTTCAGCAACTGATACAAATAATAATAATTCAGATATGTGGCCTGATGCTGAGAGTTGTTCAATGTCCTACAGGCTGTTAAACTGAGAGTAAGCCCTTGTTAGTGCAGTCACAAGTTATGCAGCAGCATAACTGTGTACAGGAATGTCCATTATTTTCCTTAGGACTAAAATCAGCATCAAAGCCGCTTTTTGTTCTGTCTGAGACTGTATAATAGAATCATAGAATCACAAAATCATGGAGTGGTTTTGATTGAAGGGACCTGAAGTATTGTCTAGTTCCAGCCTTCCTGTCTTGAGCAGAGACTTTTTCCGATAGACCAAATTACTTAAAAGCCTCATTCATATGGCTTTGTGCACTTCCAGTGTTGGGGGCATCTACAAGTTCTCTGGACAACATATTCCATCTCCACCCTCACCGTGGAGAATTTCTTCCTTATATCTAAGCTTAATCTATCCTCTTTTAGTTTAAAGCCACTATCCCTTGCTGCATCACTACATTTCCTAAAAAAGAGATTTGTTTTGCAGGCTCCAGCTTTTTTGTAGGCCTCCTTTATGTACTGCAATTCTGCTATGATCTTCCCTAGAATATTCTGTTCTCCAGGCTAAAGAAACCCAACTGTGTCAGCCAGTTTTCATAGGAGAGGTGCTTCAGCCTTCTAATCATTCCTGTGGCCTTTGCACTCACTCCAACAGATCTGTGTCTTTCTTATACTGCGGGCCCCAGAGTAGTTACTCCAGCTGGGGTTCCATGAGAGTGGAGTGATATGCTGATCACAATTCTTTTGATTCAGCCCTGGATATGGTTGGCTTTCTGGGCTGAAAGCACACATTTCTGGATCATGTTGAGCTTCTTATCAACCAGCACCACTAAGTCATTCTCTAAATCCACTCATCGCCCAGCCTGTATTTGTGCAGCACCTTTTACTCGGCCTTATTGAACTTCATGAGATTCCCATATGCCCACCTCTGAAGCATCTCAAGGTCCCTGTGAATGACATCCCTCCAACATGTCAACTGCACTACCCAGCTTTGGTATCCATGACAAATAGGTGGTGATAAGACACTGGAACAGGTTTGCCAAGAAGGTTGTGGGTGCCCCATCCCTGGAGGTATTCAAGGCAAGACTAGATGTGGCTCTGGGCAGCCTGGTCTAGTGGTTCTAGTGGCTGGCAATTCTGCAGATAGCAGGGGGGTCAAAACTAGATGATCTCTTAGGTCCTTTTCAACTCAAGCCATTCTGTGGTTCTGTGATGATTTTATGAAATTTTCGGAGATTGTACTTGATTCAGCTGTCATGTTACAGAGTGCTGGTCCCAGAAATGACCCCTGAGAAATGCCGCTTGTCTCTGGTCTCCACTTAGATGTCAAACTGTTGGCTACAACTTCCTGAGTGCAACCATCCAGCCTATTTCTTATCCACCAAACAGTCCGTCTGTTAAACCTTTGTCTCCTCGATTTAGAGACAAGGATGTCATACAGACTGTGTCCAGGCAGCTGACCTCAGTTGATCTTCCCTTTTCCGACAACACTGTAACTCCACATTTGTGAGGCACAATTTGTCCTTAGTGGAGCCATGTTGGCTGTCATCAATCACCTCTCTATTTTCCTCATGCTTTAGCATTGTTTTGAGGAGGATCTACTATCTTGCTGGATGTAGATGTGAGGCTAATTGGACTGTAGTTCCCTGGTGCCTTCTTTTTTGTGTTTGTGAAAACTGAGATTGTTTCCCCTTTTCCAGTCAGTGAGGGCTTCACTGGACTGCCACAACTTCTCAAAAATGATGGATAGTGGCTTAGCAACTTCATTCACGAGTTCTCTCAGGACCCTCAAATGTATCTTATCAGTTCAGATGGACTTGTGCGCATTCAGCTTCTTTAGATGGTCTTGAAACTGATTATCTTCTGTAGTGAATGGTTCTTCATTCTTCCAATCACTACCTTTACCTTCTGCAACTTGGGCTGTGTGGCTCCTTATGTCACCAGAGGAATATGCTGGTCTGTGAACAGAGAACTTCTATTTGCTGTGGCACAGCAACTTCTATTTGCTCAGTCCACAGCGGACCATGTGTGGGTGACCTCAGAAGTCCTGGGATGCTTCTGCTCTTTGAGCTGTCCATGAGAAAGCTTCCACATGTATGTTTTAAGCAGCTTTATTCACAGTTATGCCCATGTAGATATGAGACCAGGCTTTTCCATGAGTCACATTGACACCACTTAAGCTTGAATTGCCTTTTCAGACAGAAGACAGCATGGAGATTAGTATTCCAGTGCTAGTATATTTAACTTAGGCTTAGTCAAACCAATTCATATTTAATTTGTGATAAACCAACTTGTATTGACTGAAGTTTTTGATATTGTACTTCAAAAAAAAAAAAAAAAAAAAAAAAAAAAGATTCTTCCTGAAAGGGAGATACTGTTGTATGATCTGAACAGTGATGAGTATGACCCTGATGTTATTTTTCCCAATAGATGGACTCTTTGTACGGTAGATGGATTTTTTTTTTCTTTTTGTAAAAAATTTTCCTTTCATTCCCAGTTCCACTTACATCTTCAAGATAAAATGTACAAGTGCTTTGTGACAACAAAAAAGATCTGTCAGTATTTCTTAGCTTTACTTTGATTTTCTCAAGATTTTTGTTTTCTAACGCTCTAAAAGCGTATTTTTGGAGTTCAGTGGCTTGTTTCCAGTTCTCCTTGAACATTTAATGTTAAGCAACCAAATTTGCTGGATGTGTATTCTTACAGATACAAATTTAAAATATGGGATCTTTGTTGCTCCATCTTTTTTGATGTTCATTTGTAAAACCAAGACAGTTTGCCAAAATTGCTTCATCTTATAACTTGAAATAACAGTAAGCTCTGTTGTCCATTTTTTGTTCACAATTAAAGAAGCTTTGTCTAAATTATTATGCGTCTTACAAGATTTACTGAAATTTCACAACTTGATGAAATGTTCTCCCTCAATAACAGGGTTGCTCCTAAAGTAATGCCTCCTATTTTATTATCTTGGCCCACATTATCAGAAGTGGATGTTGGTGGTATGGCAGTAGAAATTGAACCTTTCCACCAATATTCTGTTATATTTTTTGCCATGTGGCAGATGGCAGTAGAGGGGCAGTATGACAAAATGATGTCTGACATGGAAGCATGGATGTGGATGTATGGAGCTTAGATGTGTCATTCCTCCGTGCAGGAAAAATGGCTCCCACTGACATTTATCAATGCTTGCTGAACATCTCTGGGGACCACACAGTGGATGTGAGCGCAGTGAAAGTTGGTCTGAATGGGCAACATTTTCATAGCAATGATGTTGTCGTAATAGCTGTGAAACAGTGGTCATTTCCACCAGTGCAGATATTTATGAGTGCATCATGTGTTCTCTTGTTCATGGCTGGTAAAAGCACATAGAATTGTGGTGACTATGTTGAAAACTACTGCGTTGTATGTGAGAATTTGTTCTTGTGTGATTGTTCTCGTATCTGTTGTAGTTTCCATGGAAATAAATAGGAGGCATTACTTTCAGAGTGATGTATGCTGAATGTTTATTTATAGGTCTGTGAAACTAAAGTTTCACGTTAAGAATTTCTTTTATGTTGGTGAGACTACTGAGGAAATTTCTTTTTCAAATTTTGCAGTCTGTCTCCACTTAACACCTGTATTGTTACTGTGTGATGACAGGATGCATAAAAAATAGTGTACTTTTGTGAAATGTACAACTTTGCCTAATTTGATTTTGTACTTCAAACTAGTTTCTATCTTAAGAGGTTAACATTTTCACCTTTCTTTATTCTACTTCTTCTTTGATCACCTTTGGCCAAGAGAGGAGCCCATGCTTGTTGTATAGTCTGATGCTGTGAACATGCTTTTTGTAAGTTAATTATGTAAATAGCCAAATTTAGTGCATTTTATAGTACAGCTACTGAAGCAAACTAGATGGAATGCTTTTTAATGGCTGTATAGCCATTTGATGACTTTTATACTTGTCGTTTGAAGACAGTTTGGATATAGATTGATACAGAATTACTTTAAGTACTGCATATAAATTAAACATTAAGAAGGTAGATACAGACAGACTAAGCAGCTCAATTATAATCTTTGGTTATGCAGTTAATGCCTCAAGGACACTCCATCCATTTCATATCATATGTCCTTCTTTTGAAAGATGATCACCGGGTTCAAGTAACATTTCAGCATGGCAGGAAATTGCATAATTTATAGACTTTAAAAATGAAAAACAGAAAACCACTTTCCATAAATTAAATCTCCTTCTCTTTTTTTCATCTCTCCCCTTACAGATTGGAACACTGAAGGATTACTACCACTTTTACCATAGTAAAACAATTAAAAGGTCAGTTCTCTCGAGTAGAGGTACCCACAGCTTCATTTCAATGGAACCAAAGGTAAGAATATCCACCTATGTGTTGGAGGCAAAAGCCTTTGCATATTTTATATGAAATATCATACCATGAGATGCTTACCTGAATGGTATATAGCATTACAAGAACTGACACATAATCTGTTTGCTAAGGTTCTGCTTCCAATTAAAATGTAGTGAAGACAATACCATGCTATCAGGAGTGTGCTATTCTTGGATGATAATGTCCAGCGTATTTATGGAGCAGTATAGGAATTTTCTTAATGTACTGGTCACTGTGCTTTGCTTTTTTGCAGAAGCACATTTGTAACTCTGTAAACCAATTTGAAGTGAAGGTGAGCAATATAGGATGGTGTCAATGCTTGGAAGAAAGTTTGTCAATTTTTTCCTGCTCTTTTTCTTCAGTATAAGGGGTTAATATAGGAAAAATCTTTTCTGTGGTCTTTTCCAGTAGTTCCAATCACAATTTTAAGATCTGCTTGATTTATTTAAAAAATAAGAAAAGTAAAAGACTGTTTGACTGCTGTATGTATCTGTTCCTGTGAGTGCCAAGACTGACTCATCCTTCCAACAGCACTGCACTTACAACTGGTGATGCTGCAAAAGGAAGGGAAAGTGTTCACATTTTCATCAGCCCATACTGTTTCCCATGCTCCCAAAGGTTCAGCGGTTTACATACGTACAGGTTCATATGTATGTACCACCACGACTTCTTGCTGTTACACTCCTCTGTGCCAATGGTGCCCGGCCCTGTTTACTGTGGGCAAAACTGAGAGGAATTCTGTGGCACAGAGCAGCACAGAAATATGGCCATAATTTATTTTCCAGCATGTTCCATGCTTCAGCATTTACATCTTGTCCCATATTCTGTATTCTGTGCTGCCGCATGTACAGGGGTCTTTCTGTCCAATTTCTGAATTGTTTTTAAATATCACTGCAATACTGAGAAACCCTAGTGAGGGCTGTGCAGGGTAGTCAGCCCTGTAAATGATTCTATAACCAAAAAGAAGCTGACAGTCTAATACCATGATCTAGTAACATGTTTGGTATTCACCTCTTCATTGCTCCACTGAATTCGTGCTTGGAAATTATTGTGCAGCCATAGACGTGTCAAAATATGGACATGTATCTGTAGACCTAAAGCCAGTTTGTGCATATAACATTTCAGGATTATAGAAGTGGATTGGAAATTCAATTACACTGCATAAGCTGGACCTTTTAAAAACGAAAGTTTTAATCTTAAAAAAGGCACATCACATGGCTTTGAGAATGTTAAAGGACTGGTATTATACATCATTATATTTATGATTCTCACTGTATCTAATGCCAATATTTGCGGCAGATTAGATGGCATGTGTATTTGTGAATAAGGAAACACTAAGGTTTGTGTACTTTCCAAATCATTTAATGATAGTTTACTTAATGCCTAAAATCCTCTCTGTGTAATATGTACACACAATTGCTTGATCTGTGCTTGCTTTAGATGTGAGTCACTAATTTGCTGCTTTATGAAATTTCAAATGATGGAGTTTTTATTGAGGGGAAATTCCTTGCTTGAGTTACCCGTAGGAGTGGATTTTGATATTTGGCATTTCTAAACTACTTATGTGGATTGTATTCGATTTCACTGTCTGGCCATAAGAGGGAAGATAAATAGATATATAGGATATACTGGTAATATATACAGGTAATGTAAAATGCTGCTGTTACAGATTTCATTTAATGAATTGCTTTGATGATCTTTGGCTCGGTCTTTCTTCTAGAAAGGAATCTTGACACTATTAAAAACTGTATGAATATGTTCAACAGGGAACATAAATGGAAGATGTGTATATTACACATTTTGTCAATTGTCTCAGCATTAAGTGAACATTACTTGGCATTTAGATGAAAAGATAAAGGATGTGCAGTGTAGCGTGATTTTGACTGCTATCATACATATCTTTGCCTAGAAATACTGCAGGTTGTTACTCGGAGGTGAAATGGATCAGATAGTTTTAAGAAGAAATGTATTAGTGGGGTTTTAATGTTCAAAGCATATGTCATCATGTAGAAAATTTGAAACATAACTATCTCCACAGCACCTTTTGTATTCATTGATGTAATTGCATGGTGTTTTCTACGTGCTGTTAGAAAAGCAAAAAGTAGTCTGTGTCAGGACAAAGATTAGTACCATTTGTCAAAGCTAAGCTAAGCACTCAATGAAATCTACTGCAGAGGATTCTGGTCTCTCCAGCTGATGTGATATCTGTGGTTGGCATTTGGCAGGGGTCACTGAAAGCACCATGCAATGAACTGAGAGCCTTTTTTAGCTCCATAGAGTTTGCTCAGTAATGTTGTTTTGGTTACTTGTGAAACAAAGGGAGCAGGAATGAAAAATGAAACGGAGTGGAGAAGACAGACAGAGTCGGTGCATAACTGAAAAGTATCATGAAGCTCTAATTCAGATATGGAATAGATGAGTTTATTGCTGGCAGACTCTCCCCTGGAATCAAACTAATTGAGCATTTCCAAGGGAAGGGATGAAAAAATGTGGTGCACTAGTGGTGAAGTAATGATACACTAAGTGAAATGGAGGTATGAAAGGAGGATTGCAACCTTGCTGTGTAAATCAAGCTGTATATCAATACAAAACATGTAGAAACTCCAGTGGAATTCTTCTGTCACTGAAGAAATTACAGTTCTGATGAAATAGTATAGTTGAAGCACCTTGCACATAACGATAGTATGTGGAAGTTAAATGGACAGTATACATGTGAAGGTTGTCTTTTCGTACAAGAAACTATTATGTGAGGTGAAGAGTTTGTAGTGAAGGGCTGTGATAATAAAATTTGTGACTTGTATGGAGGAAAATGTCCCACGGAATCAAGTACTGAATGAATGGCAAAGCAATAATCTAGAAAAATAAAATTTTTAAGTGGATAAAATGCTGTTTTAAGATTGATAAAATGTTCAAATCTATGTACATACAAACTCAAGTTTTTTCCACTTTGCTTATGAGGTTCCCACAATGCTTTGCATCATAACAGAAATTTAACAAAAAATGTGGTGAATAAGAATGCTGCAAAGTCTAAAAATAATAATTCGACTTCTAGTAAAATACCACATTTACTAATAGGGAAATCATTACAGCATTAGTGTTTGTCAGTATGAACCAAGATGACATCTTACTTTTTTAAAAAAAATTATTTCAGGTAGGTTTATTTTGAGTTTGAACTCCTAGCTGCTGATGCAGATTCCCTCATCACTTGAAAGTGAAGGATGTCCAGTCTCACTTTCATTGAGAATAAGCATTTCAATAAGCAGTAAAGCTACCTAATTTCAATTACCGTGGCTAAAATGTATTGTGCAGAAGTGTAATGCCTTTGTCACCTCTGCTCCATGATCAGAGTACTTGGTGGAAACATTGCTGCAGATATCTACATTTCTCCTGGTCTCACCTAGCCATACAGAGAGCAGTTCTGTATGACCTGGTGACACGAAGCATTCAGAGTGTTCTACCTCTGCCATCATGAGCTTAGTAGGATTGGTGGCAGCAGCACATGAAACATTAGCAGGCACATCTCTGAGGAGCCAGAAACAAGCTGTCTGGGCAGCCCTCAGAGGATAAACAGTAACAGCAGAATCCTTCCTCTAATACTGGTGGAATATTACGGGTATTCGTGAGAGGGCAGAGGGGAGCACAGTGGGAGAAGCCAGGAGTAAATGTTTCACCATGTGGCTGTGTAGCGAGGGTTGTGCCAGTTCACTCTGCTAAATAATACCATGATTTGGTGCAGGAGATTGATGTTTAAAGAGGTGGAGAAAGGATAGATTTCACCACAAGGTTATGGTCTTGTGTTGGTAAAGAATATGCCACTGCTTGTGGAGCCCGTCTTGGACAGCAACACATTTGATCACTGGATTAGAATGTTTATTGCAAATAGAGATGAGGGTCAAAATTTTCAATGTGCATCATCAAATTGTGTTTTCCAGTTGTTCATGAGTCTAAATGTGCTGAGATTGGAGTGTGAGGCTGTCTAAGAAAAAAAAATTATTTGTGCTTGATGTGGAAGACACAAACTTCAGCAGGAATGAAGAAGTTTATTATCATACTAAAATCCCAGTTTTAATAAGCAGACTTATTGGACTCAAATCTTAGAGAAGCTCTTGATAAGAAGCTGTTAACGGGAAAGGTTGTGTTTCATTCTGCACTGCTAAGTGCTACCTCATTAGCAAACTAAAAGATTTTGTTAGCCAAACAGAGCAACAGTAGTATTAAACACTGGGACCAGGTGAGTTACTGATGTCTGCCTGCATAGTTGCAATCTGCATTAGCGCTCACAGGTCAAAGAATCAATACGACATGGTAGTGAAATAATAGGGAGTCATGATGACTTCCACATGTAGAGTTTAGCTGGGGAGTTTAAGTTAGTTGGTAAGTAATGCAGTATATACCACTGTGGACTCTTTATTTAATTTCCTCAAAGAGCTTTTATGTGAGTAAGGCTTTAGCTTAGTCAAAATCAAGAATCAAACTTAGTGTTTCAAGAAGCCAGTTGCCAGTAAGTTAGAGCATGAACAGAATTACAATGTGCGAGAAGGCACAGGAACATCTCCCTTTGGTACCTTTCTCCAAAGTGTTAGAAAGTTTTGTGTAAACGTGAGTAAATAGACCTGCAGCTTGGATCTTTTTGTGGTACTTTTTGAGATACAAGGGTCACTGTTCACTGAATCAAATCCTTCTATAATTAGCACTGATCTAAGCTCATCATGTTGCTCTAAAGTTTGCATGAGACAGTTGGTATTTTGTTAGTGTAATAGTTACTGAAGTCTATGCCTTTATGTTAGCATTACATTACCATGTTCTCCACCTGCAAAAGTCTTTGGGAAGGTTTCTTCAGTGGGAATCAATGCCTTGTACTCCACTGAGGCTACAGTGAAATGAAAATCAGACTGATTTTCATTGATGAGCCAGCATGGACTGCCATTAGCAATGTCACTAGACCTAGAAGAGAAAAGCATGGTGACAAACACCAGTGTCGA